TTCTAAAGAATATTCTATATTCTTTTTAAATTTTATGTTCGTGGAAATTTTAAGATGCATTACTAATGACTTACTGCGATTAAATTTAAGCTACCGAAAATCACGGCAATAGTAGTCGTCGCCATTGTCGCCAAAACTAAGTATTTCATACATAGTCGGATTTCTTTTATATACCTAAACACATTTGCACAAATGTGATGCAGTGCATCATTAATTAATATAATTTAATTATATAATTAATATACAATAAATATAATTAATTAATATGTGCACAAATAGTAACCTGATCTTCACAATTACAAAATGCACTAAAGATCAAGCTACTTAGATTCCATGTAATTAATCTAAACGAAATTTTTGATATTATATTATTTATTTATATTTGATATTATAAATCACTAGTTAAAGTCAAAGCCAGATACTATCCCTGATATCCAGAATTTATTCCAATTCTGTTTGTTATTTGTACTCAATTATAATGAGTAGTCAAATTGTGGAGACAATTTTGAAAAATTCAATGGAATTATTTTGGTCTCTTAATGATACTATTTAGTTTTTTTTTTTTTTTTTTAATTTCCATGACTTTCGAATATGAAAATGACATAATGATTTTTAATCAAGAGTTTCATCCTGTTAATATACACTTATATACATATATATATAAAATTTTGTGATAATATCCTTAATATTACATTTCATCAATTTCTTAAAAATATTATACATAAAATATTAATATTATACCTCAAAAGTTCAATGTGTTTTCTAATGCAGGCATTGAACTCGCTGTTGGACCTCGCGTTACGTAACTGCACCCCTAAAAGCTCGAACCTGGCGGTTGTATATCGCAAGAGAAGTGCCACCTGAATGTCGATACCCATGCCTGACGACGCTTGAAAACCGACCAACGATTGATGAAAGAAAATCAAACTCTTCAACGGTTGATGCTTCACTGAAAATGGATATATCGCATGCGTAGGAAAGGTTTGGGACGAGTACAATGGACCACATATGACAAAAGCCGTAGTCAGGAAGCACCACAGTATATAAATGCCATGAAAGTATTTGTACTTCTCCACGTATCGTTCCAGCACCATTCTTTCCGTTTTCGTGGCACGTTTGCAAAAGTTCTCCATTTCGAAGTA